CATTTTGGCCTGACAAAAGGCGTGTCCGCTCTGCTCGTGCTCTGTGTAAGAGAGTGTCACTATCTGGACACTAGCTGCGACGCATAAATATTTTTCAGTGTGTGAGTTAATGTTTTTTCGATATTTGTATGCAGACGAAATAGTTTTGGCTAACAGATTCATGCTCACAATGCTGTAACACTTTCAAAACCCTTGTTAGCACATGACAGGGTTACGAGAGAGTGTAATTCGGACGTCTGTCGTGCGCCCTCCACATATAGTTGTTCGCGTGACTCCGGATTAATGTGGTGTCTGGTCTATTTTCGTACAAAATTGTTTTGATACTATGACGAAAATAAGACTTTTCTGTTTAATTTTTTTTTGTTCTCAAGTTTCCTTGTCATCTGTTTTCGCTTTTTTGCTCGAATTTTAATACTTTATTGGCGGGAGCAACAGAGGTGCAAAAATTATGATTTGTCGAAATTAATGAACATGTTGCTTAGAAATACTAAATCTTTAAATGACGTAACATTACAGTCAGTTTTTTAAAAACAATTCGATTATTCTGTATGCTATTTACTACTAGTTCTTATATTTTTTCTTTTTATTCATAGAAATATGCACTTAAGGTTCGCAGAATTATTACGGCGTTGTCGCGGTATTCACGTACACGAGTAGTGAATAATTTCATGATATTTTTTTAATATTTTTATTATAACTAAAAAGCTTTGTGCAAATCCACGATCTAATTAGATTTTATTTCAATTAAATAATTTTTAACCATATTTTTTTAACCAAAAGTGAGTTTTTGCTCAGTGAAAATAAGTAGAACACATTTGGATAAAAAACATCTTCTATATCAAAGTTTTGCACTGAAGAGCAGTATCGGTAATTATGACTGCTGAATATATAATAATATTCCAGAGGTATTTCGGCGAATTTTTTGACCCAGAAAGAAGCTTGGATTCTGACTTAAATCATTCTAAAGAATGTCAATAATTTTTTCACTAACGTATCTAATTTATTTTTGGTTTTTGTTATTAATCTCATGAATGTCAATAATTTTGTCTCTAATATTGAACTTATATTGAAAATTGAACTTAATACAGTAGATATCTAGTTTATTTATTGCTTTTTTTTTTGTTATTCCTATGAGAATACACCTCATTGAATATGGACCAAGTATAGTACATACATGTATGTATGGTGAGGGTACGGTACACCCATGAAGGTATATAATATACTAATATACAGTGGAGGAAAAAATTATCCTACACAAAGGAAAAACTTTGTGGAAAGAATATCTAAACTTTTACAAAAGTACAATTATCAAGTCATTATTGAATGATATTGCTGTTTTCATATGATATTTGTATTCCCCATGTAAATTTACAGAAGAATAATCTTTTTATGTTATTGTGTTGTATAAGACTGATTTAAATAAAGTTTTTCCTTTGTACAAGATATTTTTTGCACCCACTGTAGAAGTTATTTGACCTGCAACTACATATATATAAATAAATATATGTATATGGAGAGTTTCAGTTTAATTTTTGGCTAAGTTGCCACACGAGATTATCTACGATCAATTGCTTTTGGAATTTCGCTATGAATTTATTTGGTCCCTATAATTCGTGTTGAACTTCGGCTCAAACTTACCCAAACAATATCGCTGCGATCAGAATGAAAAACGATACTCGAAACAAATTCTAATGAAGGCTGAAGGCTATGATGAAACATTTTAGTTTTTGCTAGAATCCAAGAGGAGAAAATATCAGAATTATCGACGATAACACGGCGATGTTTACGTAAACAACGGCAGCGCAGTGTTAATTATAGTCTTATTTTTATGGTCGCAATTATTAAAGAGTTTGCATGCTGAATAAAATAAATCGTTGAGACCAACACCTGTGCCATTACAAGAGGTTAATTAATCAAAGGTCTGCAGTAGTGGCCATCAATCTAATTAACATTCCTGACTTCATTAAGTATTCTTGGTTCATTTGAATTTTATTGGCTTAAATAAATATTCGTGGTTCGAATGAAAATTATTGAGGCAAATAAATATTATAAGTTTGAACAGGTTCATCGTGACATGCTTTGTGTGAGGAGAAAATTTGATTGAAAACAAGTTAGACGATACATTAACAAATATACTTTAGTAAACATTAATATATAGGAAATTAGTACTAACTCATTCAATTATAAACATTTATATGCATATAATATATAAATTAATAATTAAAATATTTTGAAGGAGAATTGACTATACATTTAGAAGGTTTTACATAGAGTATATTTTACAAAGTGCGAATGCTGACTGCTATATACGTAAGGCAGCTATTATCTCGGTTACCACACATGGCCTCAAATTAAATGTCAAATTATAATTCATTTAAACTCTCAAGGTCTGCCAATTAATGTAGTCTGTATTCATGAATTAAAGGTTCATTCGTTTCGCCTTAGACGAACATCGCTCTAGTAGCGGCCTAACGAACTCTCATTGCCAGCTCCGCCTTCACCGCGAGGCGCCGACGCTATTTTTCACTCTCCAGTTCTAGGCATTCGTCTCCTGCTATTGACGGCGGCTTGCAGAAAGGCTTCATTTAATTACCATGTAATCATATTCACGCGGTCAAAGTATTACGTAATAAAGTTGATTAAACCGTGCATAATTAAGGACAATATAATATATTTCTGAAATATAATTAATTGGTATAATCATGTCATTCAAGCATGCTGTTCTCATGACTAAGTAATAGGATTCAGTTCAGTTGATCTTAGTGTAGTTTCAGAGGTAGAATTTGCATGAAGAGCATTCTTGAAAATTCTTGTTGATCATTTTGCCCATATGTCATCGCTAAAGGCTGGGGTATGTGCATTGGAACATAATCAAAATATGGATGACGAAAAGAACGATGGTCAAACAGACGTGCTACTTATTGTTATGAACTATCACGGTATGGAATAAATCTGAAGCTGAATATGTTGAGAAAACGCTGTAATTATTAAAAGACTGGGTAATGCTTTTTGGTGGACAGATCATATATGTACATTTGTACAGTCTTTGCGAGCAACAAAAGCACGCACGTAGAATTTTTTCAGCATTAGATGCGGCCCATTTGATTACTTTCAACCAAACAGCAGAGCTCATAAAGCAATTTCATCACTGGCATTCATCAGATTGTAGAGAGCTTGGGATGCCATAAAAAAACTCGAATACAGTTTTCACTGCCCTAAGACTTGTTTTCAGCAAGAGTGTTTTCAGCAAGAAATTGAGAGCACGAAGACTGTACCCAAGCTAAGACAGCACGTGGACGTAGCCGAACACGTAGTTCGTCGCGTCTGCAGAGCGCGACAGGTGCGTCGACCGAGGCTCTTCGGTCCGGCGGCTTTAAAGTTCTGCGTAACAACGGCGCAGGAGTGGGGGACGAACGGGATGCTGGTGGGGTAAAACGGCCGGTAGGGGACGAATGTATGCCGGTGGGGGGCGAATGGGATGCTAGTGGGGTAAAACGGCCGGTAGGGGATGAATGTATGCCGGTGGGGGGCGAATGGGATGCTGGTGGGGTAAAACGGCCGGTGGGGGACGAATGGATGCCGGTGAGGGACGAACGTGAGGCCGATGGAGATGAACTGGAAGCAGGGACGAACGGGATGCCAGGCGGGGGTAAAACGGAATACCGTTGTGGGGACAACTGCATGCTGGCGGGGCCGAACGGGATGTCGGTGGGGGAGGAACTGGAAACCGGTGGGAGTAAAACCGAAGAAGGGGGCGAGAAAAAGCTGTGGGTGAGGTGCGAGTGGAGGGGAAATTACAGGCGAGGGCAACGAAGAAGCTAAAATTTGATTTGTATCGAACTTCTGGGAGCAGAGATGAAAGATCGGACGATCCGCTACGCGCCCGCTGAGGAATTCAGCGAAAGATTTTGAATTGCGTTGCTGGAGGTCTGGTCGTATGGCCGTGAATTTGATCTTAAAATGCACAGCGAGAGATATTTTTGGTGTGCTGCACAGCACGAGGTCAGTTTTACGCCCTGCTAATTTAATTGAAAATAGAATTTATTCATTTAATCCTGTTAAAAAATGATCCCTGACCAAGTTGAATCTGCTAGAAGTTAAGTCAAATTTTTCTCATCACTTGGAGCCTTGTTGGCGAACAGGCGGAGATTGAATGGACATAAAGTTCTAGCCTTGACGTACGGGCATGTAATCTGTAGAGTAGAAGTGTACCGTTGACTTATCAGAACGCATCTCTATCAATTTATTTTTGGTTGGAATTTGTTCGTTGGTGATTTGTGAAGGGAATATAATCGATAAATTTTTTTTATCTCTAAAGAAATTCACAGAGTGATCACATCTGGCTGAGCATTTAGTGATTAAGCAGCCATTGGCGATTAGGTGAATACTAGCCGTAAAATTGCCCCACCAGATAGAGTTGAAGTTTGTAATTCGGTCAAAATAAGTTTTAATATCAAAAATATATTAGCAGAGATTATTAGGGTCTTAAAATGGACCATGGACGTCATTTTTTTAAATAAATAATCCAAACGCGATGTTGAAGCGTTTCAAAAATTGCGCAGGCGTTGATTCAGCCTTCGAGGATGCGAAGGAGTTTCAGTTTTATTTTTTACACCGGTTCAGCGACCAGGATGGCTAAATGAGCCCCATACATGTCGGGCCGTTGCTGATTGGTGATGACTTTTCCCTACAACTGGCGCGTCTTGTGGTGAAATGAGCGAGCGTATGTTGTCCATATGCGGTCTCGTGTTTAGTTGAACGCTTATCAGGGGATGAATCTTGCGAGTCGTGCATGCAGGGACTGCATTTTGCTCATCTGGTAAAAACTCGTTAACGTACAGAACCAAATAAAATAGAGAGCCTTGTGAGTCGTCCGCGCTGCAGTTTCTACAGATTCAGGGGCTAAATTTTTACCTTCATATTCGTTGTTTTCCTTGGTTCTGCACGGGTTTTAAATTCTCGTTACATTCTACAATTTCTAACTGTGCAGATTTTGTAAGTGGTCCTTAGAGTATGTGATTTTCCGAGCTTTACCTGGCAGCGTTTCGGAGGCTTTTTCTCCTGGCGCTGCTAACGTTTTATACCATATTAATACTTAAGATGGGTTACGGATACAGTGATGGTCAGTGTTGTGATGGTGATGCAGGTGACGGAGATTCAGTTGAGAATAGTGCTCGGACAGCCTTGCTATTTAGAAGTCAAGATGGAGAGATGACGCAAATGTTGATCAATAACTCTGATAATAATTTGCGAGGACGGAAAGTCACACTAGTCCGAAATACTTCTTCTGCTGACGGCAATATTTCCTTCGTCTGCCAAAGCGGCTTGTCCGGAAAAGAGCCTCCAACGCACGTTTGTCGACCTGTGAGTTTCACCTCAGTGCAAAGAGACGGGGACGATCCATTTAGGTTTATTGATGAAAGCGCGAGAACTTCCAGCGAAGATTTGCCTAGTAAACAGGGGCTCGCAGACAGCGATTTTTTTAAGAGTGGAACTCAGCGGACTCGAATGCCTTTGAGCAGCGGCGGTCCAACCTGTAAAGCCGGAGTTCCAGGCCGAAGTTGCGATGATGACGTAGAGATTGCGGTGAGTGTTGATGCTCAAGACGAAGGAGATCATCAAGTGAAGTGTGATGTGATTAGGAAACATTCTTCTGATACTGAAGGTGATAATGATGAAGGGGAATCGGGAACACGCAAAACCAGCGCAGGAATATCGTCGGAAGTTTCTGATAATGCCACGAACGCCGCTGAGGATGAGACGTTCTGCGGTGCTGGTAGAACTTATCTATGCCGTCTCGTCAGAACCGTCAGTCGCATCCTGTTCTGCTGGTCTAGCCGCTCCGGAAAGGTGAGTTATTAGACAATGATTACCTAGAGCTGAGTTGGCTATGTATCTTCCTCTACTTCATTTAACACATTTAATTATAAATTGCCGGATTGATAACCTATTGATAGCCAAATAATTTGGCTGACAATAGTATATGGTATCTATGTGCCGGGGATCGACATGAGCAAAAATTTTTTTAGAAAACATCAAAACGCTTTAATTAGACATAGGTTACTGGGGTCAGATTGTTGTTATTTTAGCAACAAATCATTCAGTTGCTACCCATATTACGTCAAAATTCACAATCATCCGCCGTAATAGCATCATTTAATCATTTATTTCAGTGATGAATGTTAGGCGCGCGAATCCTGATATGAGTTTTCCCAAAAAAAGGCGAAATGCGCTACAATTAAGGAAAATAAACAGAATTCGATTCGTGACTGCAACTTCAAATAATGCTCTCAAACACAAACTGATTCTCCAAACGCGGAATTCGAAAGTTACTATGCAAGTTGAAACGTCATGATTGAAACATCAACAATTATTGCTTCCAGCTTGAAGCTTAGTCCATAACTAGGAAATTATTGGCTTATCTAGCAATCATGCAGCTTAAAAGTGGTCGTACCACTCAAATGTTGTTAAGGAGCCTCACGTACTAGCCAGTCTTCAGTGTATGTAACATTCACTCACCTTAAAAAAAGATCGTACGACTGAATGTGGTTAATTTAGGACTCTCAGCGGTGCATCGAGTGGCGCTAATAGGAATGAATTACGATCCTGAATTGCGTTGTCCTGGGACAATAATAGTGATATTCAGGGGTCACTAGCGAGTTAGGGGATATTGAGTTCTTATGCAGAAGGCTGGTGAAATATAATTTCTTTTATTTCCATATAACTATGACTTCTAAGTTAAAAATATTCCTTCAACTTAAGTGAGGGACGAATGAATCAAGTTAATTTATAAGCCATACACTAACCTGTATTCAATTTGGGGTGCTATAGCAAAAAATTAATTTTGGACGATACGGATACGGATATTAACGCTAAAAAAATTTATAATAAAGAATCGTCTTTTGTGCATATTGTGCCCAACGATGAAGAAATATTTAGAAAAGTTTATTTCCCTCTAAATGCATTTTCTTAGTTGAACATAGGAATTATTTGCAAACTATCTACGTGTCTAACATGTCTATTGAAAATGAAATTGCATCTAATCTTCATATTTATAAAGAAGAAAAGTGCCAAGAAGTTTTTTCGCTGGTCTAAGGAAGGCTGGTGAAGCCTGTCAAGCTCTTGTTTGTTTGCTTCTAACTGGAACCTGCAGTTGTGACAGTTGCTAGACTGGCGTATCATAGCAACTAGATGCCCTAGTTAACATCCAACTCTAGTTAAGTCATAATAACTCATAGCAACTAGATGCCCTAGTTAACTGCCAACTCTAGTAAAGTCTTAATAACTCATAGCAACTAGATGCCCTATGTTAACTTGCAGCTCTAGTAAAGTCATAATAACTCATGGCAACTAGATGCCCTAGTTAACTACCAACTCTAGTAAAGTCATAATGACTCACAGCAACTAGATGCCATAGTTAACTCCTAACTCTAGTAAAGTCATAACAACTCATAGCAACTAGATGCCCTAGTTAACTACAAACTCTAGTGAAGTCGTCCCTGAAACAACCTGGATTGGTATAATTGTTCATAATTGTCCTATCAAACTCGGGACAGTTTTTGAATCAAGCTCGATTCATAATCATTCATACCATCGTGTTGATAAAATTCATTCGTGTTTCATTAATTGTTTTCAATTCGTGTTTCGTGATTCGTGAACGAGTATTCGTGATTTATTAATCGTGTTTAATTCGTGTTATTTATGTATATTCTAGTGCCAACGTAAGCAAATGCTAGTATATGAAGAACTGCGAGGGTCTCAACTGTGTTTTATAAATATTTGAAGACCCTATACTATGCAACACTGAAATACAGTGTCCGAACTCAGCTTTCTTAGTAAATAGAGACTTTAAAAATATAACTCAGTTCTCACTGCAGTGAGTGACAGAGAGCGCATTTTCTCATCGATGAAAACATGAGGTCACGGACGGACAGACAGACGGACGGACGGACAGACGGACATGGCAAGCACAATAGCGCCTTTTTTCCATAAATGAGAAAATGCGCTAAAAATGAACTGCAATCATTCGAACTCTGCTCCTTAAACAGATAAAAATACTGACCAATGAACTGCAATCGTCCAAACTCTGCTCTTTAATTAAACAGTTAAATTTCCTGACAAATGAATTGTAATCGTCCAAACTCTGCTCTTTACTTAAACAGTTAAAATTCCTGAAAAATGAACTGCAATCATCCGAACTCTGTTCTTTAATTAGACAGATAAAAATTCTGACAAGTGAACTGCAATCGTCCGAACTCTGCTCTTTAAAAGATAAAAATCTTGACAAATGAACTGCAAACATCCGAACTCTCTTCTTTAATTAAACAGATAAAAATTCTGACAAATGAACTGCAATCGTCCGAACTCTGTTCTTTAAAAGATAAAAATCTTGACAAATGAACTGCAGTCATCCGAACTCTGCTCTTTAATTACACTGAGCAAAATACTGACAAGTGAACTGCAGTCATCCGAACTCTGTTCTTTAATTAAAAAGATAAAAATCCTGACAAATGAACTGCAATCATCTGAACTCCGCTCTCAAAATAAACACAAACTCTAACCTATGCTACGCTGAGCTGCAGTTATCCGAACTCTGCAATACAGCGAACTAGTCTGCCGCGGCCGGTCGCCCCGACCAAGTACTCCACTCTTATCACGAAGTGTTTGCTTCTCAAACACACCGAGCCGTGCTCTCGAATCTCTGCTCAATCAGCAACCCAGTCACATTTTTGACGTAGGTTCGGGAGAGAAGAATCTGCATTGATTTCTACGCTTTTGATTTCAGCACGATAGATGTTTCGGGATCAAAAGATATATTAGGATTATTTGAATGACGGGAAGAATTTCTGGAGTTAGAAATAAGTCTTCTATGATTTTGACTCGAACGCGTTAGAAATTGATGGGATGTCTGAACCTCTTATTGGATGCAAAAAAATGCTATGCATTATCATAACTTTTTAATAAAAGATTTGGCACTACATTTTTCTCCATTTCTTATCTGGGAAGCTATATGGTATAGATTCAAATCGTGTGTTGCCTTTCGTTTGCAACCTGAACTGTGTTGCAAAATTTTAAATCTGTTATAAATCCTACGAACGAGTTTTTACAATTTCTGATTGCAATCTGTTGTTTGTACAGATTTTTAACTGTAAAACCAATGTGTTAAAATTCTGAGATAGTTCAAAGAACTTTTTTAGACACACTTATTTAATTTAGCAAAATTTTTCATTTACATGCATAATTTTTTACATTGCATTTGCTTTTGAACTCCTTATACGTACGTTAATTACGACTATATTTATTATGACTGGAAAAAATCTATTTATAAGCATCCTACAGCCGTGTTAATCTCTAATGAGGAGAGTATATATAATGAGTAGGGTAATGAGCTTAGCACCCAACATGAGATCTGCACCTGTCGCTGCAGCTGATGGTGAAACCAGATATTGCATTTTTCATCTCTCAAAATCAGTGCTCAGGTGCACAATTATTTAAGTTTCATTCTAGTTAATTGCGCTATAGTAGATGAGGCAATACCTACTGCTTGCATAGCCATTGAAAAGAAGCTATAGGTACTCATGATGATGCTACTCAACGTCTCCTGCATGGCCTCAATGTCGTTTAATAGTTACCGTGATAATATTGTTAAAATGGCTGCCAGAGCTGAATAATATTGCTGAATTGGTTGCCAGTGCAGAATAATATTGCTAAACTGGTTGTCAGTGCAGAATAATATTGCTAAACTGGTTGTCAGTGCAGAATAATATTGCTAAACTGGTTGCCACTGAAGAATAATATTGCTAAACTGGTTGCCAATGCAGGAGAATATTGCTAAACTGTTTGCCAATGCAGAAGAATATTGCTAAACTGTTTGCCAATGCAGAAGAATATTGCTAAACTGTTTGCCAATGCAGAAGAATATTGCTAAACAGTTGCCATATCTGAATATTATTGCTGAATTGGTTGAAAGAGCTGAATATTATTGCTGAATTTGTTGCCAGAGCTGAATAATATTGCTAAACTGGTTGCCAGAGCTGAATAATATTGCTGAATTTGTTGCCAGAGCTGAATAATATTGCTAAACTGGTTGCCAGAGCTGAATAATATTGCTGAATTTGTTGCCGGAGTTGTCAGGGCAATACCGTGCTCAAGGCACTCATTAATCAAGTCATGTGAGCGCGTAGTGGCAGCATATCTGGCAAGTATTCAGCCATGGTATATTTGACCTGACGTGTTCCTCGTTGACTTAATACTCAATCACGACTCTGCGCGCTAAACTTGAAGTCTTCACAGGTTTTTTTAATTCAAATACTGATATAAATTTAACTAATTATTATCTCTCAAAATATTTTCCTGTTTGGATAAACTTTTCTTGCGTATTTTTTTTCAATGAGCATCATTTTTGTTCAACCGACGCTATAGTTGACCATGTTTATACTTTTTCATTTGAATTTCTCTCTATTATTCTCATAGTATTTTATTTTCCATTTTTGACGCTATCCTATGTGATTGAAATTATTTCCATTTCCTTAACAATGAAATTAAATGATTGAACGTTTACCAGCCACTTTTTTGAACACGTTAGAGACGAATGGCGGTGGACATGACGAACATATAACAAGATTATATTTATAAGGAAACCTCGCAGTTTGACTGATGATTCATCAGTTATTATTTCTAGTTCAGGGACTACACCTTTTGTAATGTTTTGCAACCACTATTTCAAATTATATTTCAAGGTGTGAAGTTTAATTTGAAATTTCACTAAAATGAATGCTTTGGATATTTAAAAGATACCCTTAACGGAGTTTACATTATTTTTTTGTATAGAATGAACGGAGTTTGCAATG